GCTGTGGCTCAAGTGGTCGAGCGCTAGCCTTGAGCTGAAGAGCTGAGGGATAGCATCCAGGCCCAGAGTTCAGGCCCATGACTGACAAAAAAAAAAAAAAAGAGTTAAGAATATAAACTGGGAGTGGCTATATTTCTAGAGAGACCCATGCCATAGTTTTAATTTTGGCAGTCCAGATACGAGTGCCCTGACTTTTCCAACCTCTGGGCCAATCTAAGGGTACTTTGTCATTCTCATCAGTTTAAAATTACGTCGGTTTTACATGCAAAATGAGAAACCAAACTATCCCAAATATACAGAGATGATTATCTAAATAGGAATTCAAATGCTGTTTTTTACATTCAGATGTCATCTTGGTAATATGCGTCTGAAGCAGCCACAGAGGCCTTACTAGTTGTTCTGGTGAGCTCACTTTCAGTTAGAGTAGCCAGTTGTTTTTGTGTGTCAGTACACAGTCTCTCTAGGTAACATCAGCCATGAGTTAACTCTTTCAGTACCATTTCACTCCTATCGTCAGGAAGAATAGTGAATTTTCTCATGTTAACCTATAGGTAAATTTGTATTATTTGACAAATCATTTGACTTGTTCTAAAGTTATTTTAAAGGTTGAAATAAGATTTTCTTAATGCTGGGCGATGGTGGCTCATGCCTGTTGTCCTAGCTACTCACGAAGCTGAGATCTTAGGATCGTGGTTCAAATCCAGCCCGGGCAGGAAAGTCCGTGAGACTCTTATCTCCAATAAGCCACTAGAAAACTGGGAGTGGTGCTGTGGCTCAAGTGGTAGAGCATTTGCTTTGAGCTGAAGAGCTCAGGGACAGTGCCCAGGCCCAGAGTTCAAGACCCACAACCACCAAAAACAAACAACAAAACCCACCATCAACAACAAAGAAAAGATTTTCTTGAAGTAGCAAAATTACATGGATAAATGTATACAACTTTGTATAGTGTAATAAGCTTTCTGCTAAGACATTTAAATAGAAAGTGTTATCTCTTTGCTTTCCTTTAAAGTATTTCTACAAGGACCGCTTTCATGTTTTTTGCAGGTACTGTAATAGGTGTTGTCATTTATACTGGAAAAGAGACTCGAAGTGTAATGAACACATCCAATCCAAAAAATAAGGTAGGCTAGTTTAAGGAATGACTGCTTTAATGAACTTGATTTTTTTTTTTGTCATTAAGAAAGTCTATGTAGTGCTGAATAGCTCATCCAAGTACTTAATAGATAATAGGAAAACACTCAGAAATGCCAGTGATTAGGATATGAGTTATCTGTGTTTATAAATCAACATTTTCATAGTGATGAATTTCCAAATATATCTCCTCCAGCCTAATCACAGGTTTTTATGTGTCTTAAATTTGCATTGTTTGATGTATGATTTTCCTATAATTTGGCAGTTAATTGTAGGTCTCCAATTTCTCATCTTCCATTTATTTTATAATTTGCGTTCTTCATGTTGATGATTTATTTTTAAAATAAATTATTAATTTTTATAATACTTTCCTTGATAATATTATATTATTAACACAGTTTTATTTATTTCTCCTTTGTATAAGAACAAATTTAAATCTTAGAGATTATTTGACTATATTCTGGAGTTATGCAATCTGCATGAATTTATATGTTAAATGACAACAAAAGCTAATAGGAATATATATATGTATATTGCATATAACTACCACAGGAACATAGTGTATATATAAAACAAAGTCACAGTATGTTCTAATATAAGTTAATGAGAAGTTTCTTTACTACTTTATTCATTTTTATTTTATATATAAATATAATCTGTGTATTTAAGGACAGTATTCATATGGATTCACATCTCAGCAAGTAGGTACTTATAAAGATTTGACTTGTACTCAAAAGTTTGTTTCAAAACATTAGAAATGAAATAATCCTTTAAAAAGATAGGGATGGCATTATCTCCAGCTAAATCCTATTTTACAGTTAGCCCTTCAAAAATTAGGAAAACATCACCAGCCCTCTGCATTGGGTCTGTGGTACAGTAGAACAGCCCACACCTGCTGTCTGTCTGTGAAAGGGTACTGGCAGGCTCACTCACCCGTGCACACGGGCAGTGCACTTCACAAAACGTACACCTGAAGTGTGTTGCTGATTCTCAGATGAGCAAATAGAATATTCTGATGGACATGCAGATTCAAGGACTTTTGTATAATCAATACTTTTATGTTTATGACATTTTAGGGTAAATTTAATTTTAAACATTACATTTAAAATCTTAAAAGCTATATTGTTCCACCTTATTTTACAGCTTAACTGATTTCCTGTTGTTTTTCTTTTAGTTATTCTCCATGTATAGCCTTTATTTTTTGGTTCCTTGAGCTTTTTACATAGTTTTGGATCAGAAAAATTAAGTGTTCTCTTGTTTAAGGTCTTGGTTAAGAATTCTGGCACTTCGCTGGGTTCCAGTGGCTCACTCCTATAAGCCTAGTGACTCAAGAAGCTGAGATATGGAGGATTTGGGTTCTAAGCCAGCTTGAACAGAAAAGTTTTTGAGACTCTGTAATGAAACATACTGTAATTAAAACATACTGGTGGCATGGCTCAAATGGTAGAGCACTAGCCAAGCAAACAAGGCCATGAGTTCAAGGCCTAGTACTGTGGGGAAAAATCTGGCCCTTGGGTACTGCTGTCTGGATAGGAACCCAGGCTCTTCCCCCCCTCCCCCCACTATGTACTTTACAATGGCTTAATTCAAATTCTTAATCTCCTTATCTATAAAATGCCAACAGTACCCACATGTGATTGTTGAGAATAAGATCATATATTTGTATTTTCTGCTAACAGTCCCTGCACTGCCATTAGAACTTGTCGTATGACGCAATTCCCCCTCTCCATTCATCTACCCTTCTCCCCTTGACCCCCATCTCCTCTGCAAGTACTGGCTTCCTGGTGTTTATTTTGTTGGCTTGGGCATGAACTCTTCTAAGGAATTAGACCATCTGAGTTCTCCCCTGAATCATGTTTCAGTTAACATACTGAAGTATTTACTTATATATTGTGATTTTTAATATAGAGTCTTTCCTTTGGTCCATCCTCCTATTTATGCTTCCACAGTAGCTGGGTGAAAAGTATATGCTACTTTACCCAGCTTTTTTGTGGAGATAGGGTCTTAAAAGCGAGTGCACATTTTGAGGAGCTGCTTTCCTTTCTTGCAAAGTGTGTTTTTCTACCACCATTTCAAGGGTACAGCAACCCCTATGTAAGGGTTAAGCAGTTAAGTCATTTCATGTGTTCCAGTTTGTCTAGGAGTTTATCTTTCATACACTCCTCAACGACTACACATGCAGTTAGAGATGCTGTGTTAGTGTTCTTCTCTTTTCAAGCTTGTTCAGACTCGCTTCTTCTCCCCCGAGTTCACTGTTGTGGGCTCATCTCTGCTTGCTACCTCACGACAACCACAGTGTCATTTCACATGTCTCCTACGGTGCAGGCAGCCCTTCTTCAGGGAGTTACTAGCTAGGCTGTTAAATAATACAAGAATGGCTAAAGGAGCAGATACTCTCTAATATATTGGCATTCTGTAGATCTGCCTGAAACTTGAAACCCACCAGGCAGTTCCCAGCAAAGGCCAGGCCTAGTAGCTGATGAGACTGTTCTCAACCGAGCCCATCTGGGTGGACATGATGACAGCAAGTGGAAGTGTGTTCTCAGCACCCTACGTCTCCAGCCCCGGTGGCTCTCCCTGAAGCTCTCCACTCTCCTCGTGCTCACAAGTCCCACTAGCAACCCCAGGTCTTACTCGGAGGGACTCTTACCTTACTAAGGCTATTCCAGCATGCTCCTCTCACCTCTCCCTCCCTGGAAGACAGCGGACCCCCATTGGCCCCTTAGGTCAGGGTTGCCATTTTCCCCACTACACCAGAGGGTTCTTGAGGACTAGTGTTCATGGTTTTTAATCCTCTAGTGCTAAACAGATGAATAATAGATAATCATTTCATCAGTTGCTTTATACAGTAATTTTAAACTTTATTTGCTTTAGCTAATGTCTCCAGAAATCTTTTGGATAATTCACCTTTTTCTCTGCATTTTGGCTGCCTTGTTTTGGTCTAGAAGCTTTCTTAAAAAAATAGTTATTGTGATATATTGTTTTCAAACATGTAAGAACTAAGGAGAATCATGTGACCACTGGAAGGCCTAATAAGCTCTTGACTTGTCCTTTTCTGTGTGTGGCTATGGATTCATATTGCTCCCTAATTGTGCTTTTTAAAAGTTAAAAGAATTTTGTCTGGCTGCTAAGTGATGCCGAGCTTGGGTCTGTGACACTTGCTGTTGTTGGCCCTGACTGTAAAGTTGACTCCCTGGGCTGGCATTACCTGCATTGCAACTGTGTGATGACTGTGTATCTGCACAGGCCCTGGGCATCCTGAGTCAATACCTGGGACCACAACACACACTAAGTGGAGAAACTCTCTCTGCTCTTGTCACTATTAGCTAAGATGGAAAAAATTCTTGTGTATGTATGTTAGACTATAACTGGCTATTGTCATATTTTGACTCATTCTTGTAGATCGGTTCTTAAAAACTGCTTCTTGAAATTAAATAATTTCATTTTATTGGAAAAATACATCTTTATATCTTTTTCTGAGATTACTGGAATTTTTAAGTGTCACATGTTTTATTTAGACAGATTAAACATAAATCCTATAATTTTGTTGGATGGATGAAAATTCTATGATAAAAATAAAGTCTTAAAGCTCAGGATCAGATACTTTTCTCTCATCTTGGTGCTTACTGAGGGGTTGAGCTCTAATCAGAGTTGGAAGTTTTCTTTAAAAACTGTGAACAAATCAAAAGTTTTTATTGCTAAGCAATTTTACAGTGATATTTAGTGAAAGTTTAGATTACAAGGAGTGCAGCTTGAGTAATGGACTGCTTTATAAAACCTAGCTGAAGACATATTTAATAAGATGATACTTGATTACATTTAGGGAGGGAAAATTCTTACAGGAGTTTAAGAAAAATCAATTGTGACAGGTTGCCATTTTCACGCCGTTCATAATAATAAGTTGCTCAGAGCAAGAGCATCAAGGATAAAATGATAATACAAATTGCTTCAAGCAGTTATTGTAATCCCTGGAGCATATTGATTTGTGTTTTTAATAAAAAGATGCTTTCAAATGTCTCATTGATAGAGAGACAGGTGACATGTGCCATTACATGAATTAGAGCCACTTCTCACTACTTGAATTATTGCAAAGGCATTTTTAGACAATAGAATAGTAGTATACTTTGCATGTTGAAATATCAAGGCAGTTGAGGAGAATAGCTTTATTATTTTAAAAGAACCATTTATTAATATTTTAAGAGTTCTGTTTTTCTATATTAAAATGTTACAATAGAGTAGTTTACTTTTCTTGTGGTTTCATACAATCAGTATTATTTTTGTTTTCTGATATTTGCCCTCTTGGGTAATACACTTTCCATCTCAAGTGTATGTTCTTATGTTTCACAAAAGAGCTGCATGTTGTAGAATATAGTATGTAGTCAGTCTGCACAGGCAAAAGATTCTTAGAATGCCTTTTTGGATAACAGTTATGAATATTAACAAATCATAGTATTTCATGGCTCAGAAACCAATTAGCAATTAAACAAGCTGTCAGTGAAGTTTTCCTGCAACACATAGGCAAGATGCATCTTCGCCTTTTGGGTTACGCCCCGATGTGACTGCCTTTGATTGTGTGGCCACACTATAGCTACATTCAACTACAAAGTGTGTTTTTTCATCTTCAATGTGAGTGAAGACTGACTTGCCTCCTGTCTCAGTGAGCAGAGCCTTCAGTTTACACAGTGGAGTAAAAAGTAGTTGAAACCTTTTCTGTGGCCAGGTGGCCTGTGGAAAGAGCTTTGGACCTGGTTGCTGGGCTGCTGCCTGCCCTACCCCACCATAATGTCCCTCATAGATGCTACAGACACCTCCCTGCCACGTGGCTGAGAGAATTAAAATGAGGTGGTGTGCATGAGGAACACGACCTAGTTTGTTCTGCAGATGCTCAAAACCAGTTAGATGTGCCATCAGTTGGCAGCCTCCTTTCATTGGGTGTTAGGTGTTGTGAGAGTTTGGTTTGGGCATACAAATTAACCCTGAGGGTGCGGCT